TAAATATATACATATACATTCATATATATATATATATACATACATATATATATATATATATATACATATATATATATATATACATATACATATATATATATATATATACATATATATATATATATATACATATACATATATATATATATATACATATATATATATATACATATACATATATATATATATACATACATATATATATATATATATATATATATATACATATATATATATATATACATATATATATATATATACATACATATATATATATATATATATATATATATATATATATATATATATATATATATATTTATATATATCTTTTTTAAATACATTTCTATCCATGTTTCAAAAATGGAAGCTATTCTTTCTTTATATATATATATATATATATATATATATATATATATATATATATATATATATACATATATATACATATACATACATATATATATATATATATATATATATATATATATATATATATATATATATATATATATATATATATATATATATATATATATATATATATATATATATATATATATATATATATATATATATATATATATATATATATATATTTACAAGGTGCTTTGATTTATTTTTTATACAATTTCTCTTGTGATCTAATAATTTTTCTTTTAAAAAAATATATATATATATATATATATATATATATATATATATATATATATATATATATATATATATATATATATATATATATTCACAGAGTGTGAGACAAAAGTCATGCACCATAGGGGTTAATTAAATGTCTAATTTTTTTGATAGCTCTTTCTGAGTGGCCTCCAAGGTCACCAGACCTCACACTTTTGGATTTTTTCTGTGGGGCCTTTTGAAATCAGTTGTTTATCAGATGCAGCCAAGAAATGTTGAAGAACTTAAAGAAAGAATTAAATATGAATTTAGTAAAATGACAGGAAACACTCTGACATGTTAATGAATTATGCAGGCACAAAATTGAAATGTGTTTTCAAAAAGGAGGACATTTTAAACAGCACATATAACAATTAAATAACTAGTAAATAAAATTTTCATGTGTAATACTTTTAATAAATTATCCCTAAGGTGTGCAGCTTCTGTCTCACCTTGTGTATGTGTGTGTCTAATAATAATAATAATAATAATAATAAAGCTCTCTACTTGGAGTTTTGCAGATTCTGAAATCCATTCATCAGGAGACAAATATATTTTAATTTATTTTCAATAATCATATTTTTCTTCAAAGTCATTAAAGTATGAAGTAAAATTATTTCCATTTGTCTTTATTAAAGACATTGGTTTATCATATAAGTTTATGTGAATTTATTCAGAAGTTAGATGCAATATATTTGAATCATATGTATAGGGAATTATTTAAGTCATATATATAGGGAATTATTTGACTCATATGTATCAGGAATTATTTGAATCATATGTATCGGGAATTATTTGAGTCATATGCATAGGGAAGAATTTGAGTCATATGTATAGGAAATTATTTGAATCATGTATAGGGAATTATTTGAGTCATATCTATAAGGAATTATTTGTGTCATATGCAGAGGTAATTATTTGTGTCATATGCATAGGGAATTATTTGAGTCATATGTATAGGAAATTATTTGAGTCATATGTATAGGGAATTATTTGTGTCATATGCATAGGGAATTATTTGAATCATATGTATAGGGAATGATGGCTCTAATTTGTATTTGTAACTTCCACTTTCCCCCAAATTTATAGACAAAAGATACTGATGCCTGTTGAGATTTCTTTCTTCCTAACCACTAAGATAGGCCACTTTTTGGTCTCATCAGACTTAAATCTATTCTGTTATCTTGAAGCCAGAATGCTGTAATTGCTTCTCTGAATTCCCTTACATGTGTTAACACAATTCTTAGTTTGCAAACTTTTTGCCTTATTAATGTTGCTTTTCATTGCATATAGTTTTCTTGCTTAATATTATTTTTACCTTGTTCTTTTACTTTCTTTTGTTATTTTTTATTGCAAACTTTGTTGATTCTGTTTGTTGTGCATGTCTGCCAATTACAGGGAATTATTTGAGTCATATATATACAGGAAATTATTTCCATATTTGATCGGGGTGTGTGAAAGATTTTTTTAAATAAATTGTTAATCTAGTGAAGGTTGTGGCTATTTAGAACTTTTTAGATATTAAAAGTATTTGGCAATTCTAAATAATTGTTAAGGATTTTTGTCATATTTACATTATTGTAATAATTATTTAAAATCATGATGGACTTGATATTAGAATAATTACAGTATATATTATTATTAAGTAATTAATAATTATCTAATTTTTAATCTGCTTCTTTATATAACAAAGTAAATTGTTTTTTTACATGCCTGAATCTGTATAGCGTTTCATTTCTTTTAATTCAAATTATATGTATTTTTAAAACCAATTATTTTGAAATTTCCTTTCAAGCATAATCAGCCATTTTTGCCATTAGCATAGCGAAAAGGTGTGCTTCTTATAATTACCCATATAAATATATATATATATAAAAGGTTCAAACACTAATATTCCATGGTTATAATTTATTTCATTGGAATCGTAATCACGATCCAATTCATCAGACCTCCAAATTCAAAATTAAATCAGAGAATATATATATATATATATATATATATAAAAGGTTCAAACACTAATATTCCATGGTTATAATTTATTTCATCGGAATCGGAATCACGATCCAATTCATCAAACCTCCAAATTCAAAATTAAATCAGAAAATATATATATATATATATATATATATATATATATATATATATATATAAAGGGTTCAAACACTAATATTCCATGGTTATAATTTATTTCATTGGAATCGTAATCACGATCCAATTCATCAGACCTCCAAATTGAAAAAATTAAATCAGAGAATATATATATATATATATATATATATAAAGGTTCAAACACTAATATTCCATGGTTATAATTTATTTCATCGGAATCGGAATCACGATCCAATTCATCAAACCTCGAAATTCAAAATTAAATCAGAGAATATATATATATATATATGCTATAATGATATATAATTTTGTATAATCTTATATATAAACAAAAGATTGTAACAGTGTGGGATAGTCAGGGACAAAGATGATGAAGAGAAAAAGGAAAAGAATACAAAGAATACAAATGATTTTGGCTAGACTGAGGAAAAAATAAATTTTCTTTCAAAAATTTTGAAACTACCTGCATCTCTTGTTTCCCATGCATGTCTAGATGTGACGACATCAACAAGGCCCATTATGATGAAATCCTAACGGTTGAAACGTGTCACAAAAAAAAACTTACCAGTTTCTCATATTTTCTCTAAATATATATATATATATATATATATATATATATATATATATATATATATATCCTTCAAAGAAGGATGCAATAAATCTTTACAAGAGGCATGGTGCTTCACTCAGAAGTGTTGCAGGAAAATACCTGTGGGTGAAGTACCATGCCTCTTGAAAAAGATTTATTGCATCCTTTTTGGAAAAACAGAAAACAAACTGTAAACTGAAAAGGCTTGTAGTGTCTCCAAATAGTTATTTCATGGATGCCAAATGCTGTGGTTGTTACAAAATTATAACAATGTTAAGTCATGCTCAGACTGTTGTCTTGCATGTAGGATGCTCAACAGTTCAGTGCCAACCTACGAGTGGAAAAGCATGACTAACAAAGTGTTGTTCAGTCCAAAGAAAACAGCCTTGAATGATGTAAATTGATATCACATGTATCAAGATACATCCTTTCAATCTAAGAATAAATATATATATATATATATATATATATATATATATATATATAGATGTATATATACACTACAGTTCAAAAGTTTGAGGACACCCCTCGTAATTTTTTAAATTGGCCCCAAAAGTTGTTGTTTTGTAAAAAATGTGAGATGTGAAATTTTATAATGACGCAAAAAAAAAAAGCATTTCATGATTAAATTTTACTCTCATGAAACTATGCTCCTTTAGTCTTGATTACTGCAGTACAAATTTTTGGCATTTTCTGCAAAAGTTTCTCAAAGTTTGATAATTAATTCCATTCTTTTTTTCTAAGAGCTCTTTTTTAAAATTTTTTTTCATGCCATCTTAATTATGGGGGTGGCTCCAAACTTTTGAACTGTAGTGTATATACCTTAAGGACACAAGGCTAACACATTGTATAAAGGTGTTAGTTAGATCCAGTGACAAGACCCAAAGAGTGTGAGTTCAATACCCGGTTAAGGCAGTGGAGAACTTGGAGAGGGGAATTAACAGGAGATAACTGACATCCGTTAAACATGGCACATGGAACAAGAACAGTCTATCCCAGTGAGCGAAATAAAGGGTTCAGTTTGACATTCCAATCACCTGAAGAAGGCCAGAGCATACAACAGCTGTAACGTTGTTATAAATATGGCAACAAAGATGTGGACAATAGTCCGAATAATGTAAATAGTGTACATAATACCTCATCTCAGACAGATACTGTAGTGTATATGTATATATATATATTAAGACATTTTTATGTTTATACATTCTTTTTATAGATACAAATATTTAAGTAAATGCTCTGTTTATAATAAACAATATTAAACAAGAAATTTTCACAGGTCAGTAAATGTTGTTTAATATTGTTTTTTTTTTTAATTGGTCTCACCCCATACAGTAAAGCCACTAAAACATAAGGGGTTACTGGGTGGGGAAGAATTAGGAACAGAAACATAAATAATGTGTGGGAAGAGGAAAGAGTAATCAGGAGGAGAGTAGATAGCAATTGACATTGCATTTAAATTTTTGCAGATTAAAGTTGGTTTTAAAGCATGGAGCTGGAAGGGAGTTTCCCAAGCAAGAAGTGTGAGAAAAGAAACTTTTTAACCCTGTCTTCATGCTTTCATTTACTATCATGTTTCAGAGTTCCTGCAGTTTTCCTTCTGTATCTAGGCTTACAGAAACATTGTATTGAATCACCGTTTTCCATATGATCACCAAAGTTAAGCAGCATTGAGCCTAGTCAATACCTAAAAGGGTGACTGCTTGGGAATACTAGGTGCTGTAAGCTTGGATGTGCAGGTGGTGAGATTGTTAACTAGAGAGCTGAGTTTCAATTCCTGTTGGGTTTGTTATATTCATTTAACATGCTAATCCCATTGGGAAAGGGGTATGAATCCTCCTCTCTTCCTCCCCAGCTAATTAGCAAGACTTGTATCACTAAAAACATTATTAACTACAAAAAAATTCTTACAATCTAAAAATATCTTTTGGCTTTGAATAACTTGCAAAATGGTTGATAAGTCATAGAAAACAAAGCAGTCATTTAATCTTCTGTATCTATTTTTGAAAGAGTGACTTAATAAATTTTGTTCTTACTAAGAAATAATATGTGTACCAAGTGAGTTGTTTTTTTTTGGTTTAAATACAAAGTTCAGGATATTTCAATGAGAATTAAAAACAATATTAAAATTAGTTGTTTTGAACTGTAATTGTCTTTTCTTACAGAGAAATATCAAAATCCCCTGAAAAGTCCATGCTCTGATATTCAAAATTAAAAAAAAAAATAAAAAAAGGAATAAATTTTTGGGTTCAGATTAAACAGATTTTTTTTGTATAATCAATGATTCTTTCCTTAATTAGGCATTTGTTGATTACTTAATTAGTTTAGTCAAAACTGGTTTTCATTTTTCGACTAATTAACAAAGCAAGCTAATTAGATGCTCTTTGTTAATTTCTGTTTATTCTAATCGCATTTATATTGATCACCAATTGTCTGTGATTTCAACAATGCTTCATGTGCTACTGAGCTTCATCCAGATCATGGTTCACACACACTGTCATCTTGAAACATTTCTTGCCAGACTGCCATGGCATTAACTTCTGAAAACTTCCTAAAAGACAAAAGTTTATATATGTATCTATGTTTTAGAGTAGGACTCAGCGTACTTCCTGCTCTTCCCTACTACTGTGACAATGGACTGCTCCAACTTATAAATATGGCAAGTATAAGAGTTGATTTACTCAAATTTTCCCATTCCATCTACAAGTATTTAATAAACCTCTTCTTTGTTTTTCCTATGTAGTCTTCTGTTCTTTTGATACTCACTCTAACTATGGCCTTCCTAACTCTTGGCTATTTTGAACAAAGACAACATTACAACAATCTAGAAGATTAATTTTTAGTTATCATTAATCACACTATTTACATGCAAACTATTGTCCTCATCTTTGTTGTTTTTATCACAATGTTTCAGCCGTTGTACTCTTCAGCCTTCATAAGGTCTACATTGATCCAGGTAACCTACAGGGAATTCTGAACTCACTTTGAAATTCCATGTTGATTACTCAGATTGGCACACACCTGATGAAGTCTGGAGGGTGCAATAGCTGAAACATTGTGATAGCAACAACAAAGATGGATAGTGGGAATAATCTAGAAGATTATCGTTGACAAAAAAATCAGTTTCTAATTTGAGAGTAATTTGTGATTTTTGTAAGTAATATGAAAAGTTCTCAGCCAAACCAACTTTATAAAGTCTGAAGACATGACCAAAGTTCAGAATATTTTTAAGTTTCTTCTTGGTTGGATTAAGAACTTTTCATCACTACCACTCAAAATATAACAGAGTTAGGCCAAGTACAATAAATGCTGTGTGAATAAATAAAGATAAAACATATCAGCAGCAGCAGTAAGGAAAGGCCTATGTTATGCTTACCATGAAAAAGATAACATAAATATAGATAAAGGTAGCATACATCCTATATATATATATATATATATATATATATATATATATATATATATATATATATATAAAATATAAAATTCCATAAATATTCCATATATCCTATATATATATATATATATATATATATATATAAATATAAATATAAAAAGTTTCAAATACTAATATTCTGTGGTGTTACTTTTTACATTGGAATCATAATCAATCCAATTCATCAGACCTTTTTGAATTTGTAGGTCTGATATATTGGATTGTGATTATGATTCCAATGAAATAAATTATAACCATGGAATATTAGTGTTTGAGCCATTTATATTATATTCTTACTCTGACCTGGACATTGAGTTGGAAATTTATATATATAAATATATATATATACTGATATTATTAAAATTTATATATATATATATATATATATATAATACATGCTACCTTCTTCCAAAGAATTGCTACTCTATGAAACAGACTCCCAAGAAGATGATTCCCCAATCACTACAACTTTAACCACTTCAAGTCTAAGTTAAATCATTATCTTTCTTATGCATCCTCATAATCTGTACTTTTCATCTCCTTCTCTTCAACAATCTCAATCATCAACCCTCTACCTTGACAGGATTATAGGCCTTGTGTTAGGTGAATAATTAGTTAAAAAAAAAAAAAGCAGGTTTTTCCCAGTAAATGTTATGGTTTATTCTAATATCTTTCCCATAAATTAAGCTCACATAGCAGTTCAAATAGGTGTTTAAGTTGTGTCTTTTATGTAATATATGAAACATTTTTGTTTTAGCATCATTCACAACTGTTTAAATATGAGAATTAATGTAGTTAACAGTATAACTTTGAGAAAAGTGTCATTATCATATTAAACACTGTTCAGAATACCAAATCTTTTTTTTTATATGTACTGTTGTTAACATTCTTTATCCCTTATTCAAAATAGTGTGTTAACAACAGCAAATGTGTTTGAATAATGGTGGTTATGTCAATAAACCTTCTCAAAGTTATGGTCAATAAACATTTTTCTCTCAAGTAATCAAAGGAAAATTCAAATATTGCACATACACAGGCACTCATGTATACATAGATATATATATGTATGTATGTATATGAGTTAATATGATAAATTGGAATATTACTTTGTGCAAAGAACTGTTTATTCCATTCTTTTGTTATCGTAAGATATATTGAAAAACTATACTTCTTATGAAATTCTTTGTAGCAAAAGAAAAATGCTTTTGTATCAGCAGCACCAATTTTTGTCAGTTTGGACACATCTCATAAATAGTGCCTTCTTTATTGGCTGTAAAAATCGAAGGGTAGGTAATATTGTAAAGCATGTTCAATTGTACAAGGAGATACTGAAAAGTTATCGACCCAACCCACTAAAACCAGTGTTTTAATAACCAAACTTCAGAATATGAATTTTGGAAGTGGATCAAACCTAGAAAAATGAATTCAATAAATATACTAAAATAGAAGGGGGCTTAAGAAAAGGATCTGTCTTCTCACCAGACTTATTTAACCTATACAGTGGGACAATTCTGAGAGAATTAGAAGTCTTGATTCATTTTTGGTGGGCACAATATAAGATATACATATAACACAGTGTTGATAGCAGACATATAAAGAAAACTACAAGAACTCCTATGGAAGGTAGTGAAGGAAAGTGAAAGTGAGAAAAAAGGATTAAACAGCAATTGCAAGAAGATAAAATGCATGGTTCTTAGCAGAAGGAATATCCCAACTTGTGAATTACAAATTGGAGATACTAAAATCAAATAAATACAACATTTTAAATATCTCTGAAGTGTTTTAACAGAGGACAAAAAATGTGACAATGAAATCCAAAGACACTTTTAAATTGTGGAAGTTACCTTCCAAAGGCTAAGCAAAGTACTAAGAAACAAAAAAAATTGAACAAAGAAAAGTCTACTAAACTGTTATATAATATAAGTTTTCCTCTATGGCAGTAAATGCTGGAGACTCTCCTCATAGATGAAGAAGAGACAAAGCAACAGAAATGGGATTCTACCGAAACTTCTATTACTCCCTATATATTTAAACTAAATATATTTTCTAAGTAACTTAAAAGTCACCCTATCAGTGTCATTTAAGCTAGTGAGGGTTCTTGTTTGGACCTTCATCACAATATGTAGGGAGGAGTAGATGTGATAGGCAACAATAAACTACAGAAAAACTCAAAATTGATCACTGCATTTAAGTATTGCATTTTCTTCTACCACCATTTAATTTAAAGACAGTTTGATGTATGTAGGTCCTTACTTTCCATACAAACAATTATTTTTTTTTTCATGGTGACTTTTGCTGGATTTTGAAAATAATTTTGATTATTCCCAAATTTATAGAAATTGTTATTGTACAAAATAATTTGTCACAAAAAAAAATTGCTGAAAACAATTGCAGTAATGAAAACTTGGTAAATCAAAATTTTAGGCTTGCATGTCTGTATCTGGCCCGTAATTTTTTTACCTTGCTCACAGAATCAGCCCAATTCCAAAATGTTATGATATGTTGGATTATGGCCTCTAGGAGTAAAGTTGAAAAAGTGTGACACAGTGACACACTGACATTCACATTTATTATATAGATGAATGTAATATTTTAAATGGGCAAACAATTTGGATTTGAAATTTGATTATCTTGCCCTCAGCAAAGTTGTAGGCACCAAATTTATTCTTTATGGGCCATGTACCCTCAGGACATAGGCGATCATGACTCTCCACATCTTCCTGTTCCTTGTAACTTTTAATAAACTTTGTCTTACTGTTATTTCTCCCAGGCTCTGATTCACCAGCTATTAAGTATGTTATGTGTTATTTTCTTTTGCCACTCTTGCCCTCTATCTGTCCTGTGAGTATCAGATTTCCCAAGCCCTCCTTCCTCATTATATGCCCTAGAAACCTGAATGCTAAACGTTAGTTTCCTTTTTGTCTCCATTCTCTCCAAAACCTTGTCATTGCTCACATGTTTGGTCCACAGTATTCTCAGTGTCCTTCTATAGAACCATATTTCTGTTGCTTCAGTCAGCCCTTCATCTTTGAGGAGATTCATTGATTGAGTGATTGGTTGGTTGGTTGATTTTGTTTAGCTGCATATCAATTTTTATGATTTATTTAATGCTGAAATTTAAATATTTTATACACAATTTTTTTTATTTTTGGATAATAATGGTTTTAATGATACCAGTCTTACTAATTAACCCATAGCTGGGGTGAGAAGAAATAGATTCATACCTTTCCTAAGGGGATTTGCACATAAGTGAATATAGCGAATTCAACTGGAATTGGAACTTACCTCTCTGATTAACAATTACAAGCTATTATCCATTACACCACCCAAACATCCAATCTTACAGCATCTGGTATTTCCAAACAGACATCCATCTAGTTACTGACCATGCTCGATGTTGCTTAACTTTAGTGATCATATGGTAACCAATGTTTTAATGTGACATGGATTTAAGCCCTTGAGGTGATCGTCCAGTACTCACTGCCATAAAAGAGAACAGATATCACATAGCAGTTTACTACTTTTTCCTTGTTTCTAGTGAAATTTTCCTATTTCTTAATACTCTGCTTAACTTCTGGATTGCTTCTTTGACAATCCCAATATGCCTTTGGATTGCAGTGTCATACTTTCCATCCTTTGTTTAAACCAATGATTCCCACTAGTGGGGTATGGTAATATTTTGGTGGGGCATGTGTAATATGTGCACCTTTCGGCTTACTATACTAACAGAATAAGGGGGCAATTTGAGAATGAGTTATTAACAATAAATTGTTTTCTAGTTAGTCTCGGTGAGAGTGTTAATGTGTGTTAATATATATGATGCATATACAGTATGCATACATAAAAATATTTTGTGTGTATGTACATACAAGTGTAACTAGCATACAGGTATTTCCTGTCTATCCACACTTGCATGTCTCAGTCTAATTTTTTGTTGCCAATCAGCACATTCAGTTTGCTTCTTTCATGTGAATTTAAAATTTTGAATATGTAAGAATTAAATATACAGTGAAATACCAAAAGGGCACCAGAATTTTGCATACAAGAATTGGTTTAAAACTTCCCCTGGGTTTAAAAACTTCCCAGATATTTAAATTTTTTATACTTGTTTGAGTTTGGTGTCTCCAATTTGAAACTACTGGTTTAAAACTTCCCAGATATTTAAATTTTATACTTGTTTGAGTTTGGTGTTCCAATTTGAAAACTGGTTTAAAAAGCAGATATTTAAATTTTATACTTGTTTGAGTTTGGTGTCTCCAATTTGGAAATACACTTGTTTGAGTTTGGTGGTACTGGTTTTTCCCAGATATTTAAATTTTTATACTTGTTTGAGTTTGGTGTCTCCAATTTCCCACTACTGGTTTAAAACTTCCCAGATATTTAAGTTTTATACTTGTTTGAGTTTGTGTCTCCAATTTGGAAACTACTGGTTTAAAAAACTTCCCAGATATTTAAATTTTTATACTTGTTTGAGTTTGGTGTTCCAATTTGATGGTTTAAAACTCCCATATATTTAAATTTTATACTTGTTTGAGTTTGGTGTCAATTTGGAAACCACTGGTTTAAAAAAAGAACCGATTTGTTTGTTGTGTCTCCAATTTCACTGGTTTAAAAACTTCCCATATATTTAAATTTTTCAGTTTGTGGTTTAAAAACTTCCCACTTGTTTTCTTTCCCAGATATTTAAATTTTATACTTGTTTGAGTCTCCAATTTGAAACTACTGTTTAAAAACTTCCCAGATATTTAAATTTTTTATATTTGTTTGAATCCAATTTGAAATATGTTTAAAAAAGATATTTAAATTTTTATACTTGTTTGAGTTTGGTGTCTCCAATTTGAAACTACTGGTTTAAAACTTCCCAGATATTTAAATTTTTATACTTGTTTGAGTTTGTGTCTCCAATTTGGAAACTACTGGTTTAAAAAAGATATTTAAATTTTTATACTTGTTTGAGTTTGGTGTTCCAATTTGGAAATACTGGTTTAAAAACTTCCCAGAAGTTTGTGTCTCCAATTTGGAAACCACTGGTTTAAAAACTTCCCAGATATTTAAATTGTTAAAAGTTTGGAAACTACTGGTTCCCCAGAAATACTGGTTTTTAATATTTTTTTATACTTGTTTGAGTTTGGTGTCTCCAATTTGGAAACTACTGGTTTAAAAACTTCCCAGATATTTAAATTTTTATACTTGTTTGAGTTTGGTGTCTCCAATTTGGAAACTACTGGTTTAAAAACTTCCCAGATATTTAAATTTTTATACTTGTTTGAGTTTGGTGTTCCAAGAAATACTGGTTTAAAACTTCCCAGATATTTTTTTATACTTGTTTGAGTTTGGTGTCAATTTAAAAAAACCACTGGTTTAAAATTCATATATTTAAATTTTTATACTTGTTTGAGTTTGGACAATTTGAAACTACTGGTTTTTCCCAGATATTTAAATTTTTATACTTGTTTGAGTTTTGTTCCATTTTGCATTCAGTTTGTCTTCCTTTGCTAACAACCATGCATTTTCTTCTTCAGTTTTTCCATCATTGCCTTCTGTAGGAGTTTTTGTAGTTTTCTTCCTGCGTCTGCTGACTAGTAATGTTTAAAGACCATTATGGTAGAGATCTTCAGCTTGCCCGTTTCCAATTGAGAAACTTGTTTCTTTTCCAATTGACCTCAACATGACATAGATTATTTAACAAACTGATTTTTTTCTTGTTCAAAACAAGCAAGATAATCAGAATTTATTAAAAGTGCTGTCAAGCAAACATCAACATAATTTTAGACATTCATCAGTTTGTCAATGAAGTAATAAGAAAATGTGTTAAAGGAAAAAAAAATTAACTAAAAAAGGAAAATATCTCCTGAGGATCTTGGCATATTTGTTCTTTTCTACAGCATGTTGAAAGATGCCATTTTAAAATTTAAAAAAAGAATCAGATAAGACAGCATGAGCTTCTGTTAATGAAAATAACAAGGCTGGGAGAGGAGAATTTTTAGACATTGTTAAGATGTCTGATACAAATCTCATAGCTATTAAAAATGAACAGTTTTTTCCTGCTTTTTAGTAAGGAAATGATGTTAAACAACTAGTGACAGTTTTAAGGAAAAATAAACATCGAAATGTTTCTGTTGAAAAAAAAATAGATGCTTAAAAGAATCTTTGCACATGATTTGGCTCAGAATATGACCAATGCTTTAATGGATAGAAAGAAGAAAAGACTAACTATTAAAGGTAAAATTTGGCATCAGCAGAAGAAGAATATGACCATTTGACTTTAATGGAAAGGGCTCCAAAGAGTGTGAGAAAGGGAAAAGACTGGGTATAGGTAGGGGTGGTTGATGGAAGGATAAAAAAAAAAGAATGGAGGAGGATAAAAGCAAGAATGGGGATCAGGGGCAACAGAAATGTCAAACAACTAAATTTTTGAATTTTTTTCAGGGAAGCAAGTAAGAGGAAGGGAGTTGCTGTTGAGAAGTATGATAGAAGATGCTGTTGAAGTAGAAGAAGTGGTTATATTTAACTGTTTCGACAGTAAAAGGTTGGGACCGAGATGACAACCTAGTAGCATGCTTAAATTCGTGCAGTTGAGACACCAGTGAAAATAGCTTGTCAGAGCAGATGCCCTGAAAATATTTATAGAAAAGACAGAGGGAAGCCACATTACATCGATGAGAAAGTGACTGGAGTTGCATATTCGTCTTTGGATTTTGTCGAGAACTTTAAGATGGACAGTGGGGGCACCAGACCATATATGGCAACAGTATTCCATGCATGGATGAATGGTAGATTTGTACATATGAAGGATGGACTCAGATGAGAAAAACCTTCTGGTGTGACACAGATTTGATTAAGTCATTTTCTATGACTTATCAACCATTTGCAGGTTATTTAAAGCCAGAAAATATCTTAAAAATTTGAGAAGTTTTTTGTGATAGTAATGATTTAGTGATACAAGTGTTATTATTTTAACCTATTGATGGGGGGAGAAGAGGTGGATTAATATCTTTCTTAAGAGTATATGCTCACAAGTGAATGTAGTGAACCCAACTGGAATTTGAACTTGGCTTTCTGATTTCTCATTCAGCCCTTATCTATTACATCCAAGCTTATAGTACTTGGTATTCTCAAGCGGTCACCTATCTAGGTAATGACCAGGATCAATGTTGCTTAACTTTAGGGATCATACAGGAAGTGGTGTTTCAATATGATGTGGCCATAAGATTGAAACACAGGGTAATTTTCTTTTGAGATAATAATGATTTAGGGATACAAGTCCTACTGTTTTAACCCATAGTTGGAAGAAGAAGAGGTAGATATCCCCAGGATATTCACACATGTGAATGTAATAGACCCAACTGGAATTTGAACTCAGCTTTCTAACTTCTTATTCAGCTCTTATCTATTACCTCACTTGCATATCCAAGAATACAACACCTGGTATTCCTCAGTGGTCACCTATCTAGGTACTGACCAGGCTTGACTTTGCTTAACTTCGGTGATCAGATGATAACTTATGTTACAATATTAATGCATAGAAGAAGATGAACCAGTGCACTATCCGTGTATCCAAACCTTGTATATATAAAAATGAGTATTTAGGCAACAATCATTCATTAATAGAAATTTGATAAAAGGGAAGAATAAATAACTTGTTTTTATTGTTTAGTTAACTTTTCTTGTTTATTCATGATAATTAGATAAAACAGAAACAGCTGTAGTAGCAGAGCAAATGATGACTATATATAAAAACGTCCTCTTGCTTTTTTTGGCTGCCTTGGGCCTAACCACATTACTATTTTTTTTTCATTCTCAAGGCCACATGCTAATCAAGTGTGCAATGGACCATCTGCTGATTAACTTCTTTTACTACCTTTTTCCCAACTCAAGTGCATTCAATATGAAGAGAATTTATTTGCCATACAGAAGCTAAAACATTGACTGCCATTTTCCTGAGTGCATTCTTATGAATGAACATTTCATGTTCTCAATGAATCTACACACAACACTTTTGAATTTCTGAATGAATACTTCATGTTTTTAGTGAATATCACATAGAAATTTTTGAACTTCTGAATGAACATTTCATGTTTTAAATGAATACATGTGCAGCACAACTTTCAAAATTCTCAACTCTACACACCACATACAAAAATAAAATTCATCTGGTTACCAAAATCTTTATTTTCTTTCAAATTCTACCTTGGAATATTCTTGGTGATTTAATATCCTAATGTCTACAAGAGAATGCATGTAAAGATCTAATAATGTCCAAATGTTATGTTAGTTCCTCACACATTTCAGCTATTATCAAGATCAGGTACAAGATATTGAAAATATTTCTTTGTCACTTCTAATAAATCAATTTCATGTTCTTATATATATATATATATATATATATATATATATATATATATATATGTATATATACTAGAAGCATGGCCCGGCGTTGCCTGTGCTTGATTAAAAAATCGTATGACTCATGCAGCAATCGCTATCACTTGACTTAAAAATATTTTTGCCCTTCCTTGCCTTTAAAGGAGTGCCCTTTGCCGTGCTGATGCTGCTACATGCCTTACTTCTTGCCTATCTCACACTGTGAATTTTTTCTAAGCTCTATACTAAACATTAAATTTGTTATGAAAAAAGAACTAAACAAAATGAACACAAGACGATCAGCTTTAAAAAAAAAGGACTCGTAACTGAAAAAAACCGAATGAAAAAGAATGTTAACAACAAATACTTTTTTCACACCCAACCCAGTTCTGTGGAATCAGAATCAACTTTGAGTTTAAGCAAGCAAATGAGCCAATTGGAGTAAAGTGCCATGCAGATTTAAATTTTTCCCACTTGTGATGAATGCAGCTATTGATTTTTTTTGCATGCTAGCATGCTAGTTAACATTCTTGTCAGTCAGCTGTTGGCTCTCACGCTGGCCAATAGAATCTTCCTGCCTATTTGTGGCAGCCAGCTATAGGTTCTCACTCTGGCCAGTTGAAAATGGCCGCAAACTACATGAAAACTGCCGTAGAAGAATGAAAAAATTGATTATTTCCCCTATCGGTGGGAGTTGGGAAATGCAAAGTTGGTCTTAGCCTTCCCACTAACTTGAGCATGTGCATGTAAATTTTGATACAAATCCGTCAAAAATTGCGGCCATACATTTGTTACACACACACACACACACACATCCTGCCTTTTTATATATATATATATATATATATATATATTATATTTAAGATATAAAATTTTTTATAGATATTTTATTTTTACAGTTTTTGAGTAAATTTATTATTTTTTTTTTGATTTTAAACAATTTTTTTTTAATTTTATTAATTAGTGAAACCCCTAATTTTATTTTTAAATATAAACATTAGTTCCATTTCATAATCTTAGCAAAATAAAATTAGGGTTTTTTCTTTTTTTGAAATGGTTATGTACGAAAAAAACATAAAAATATCAAAGGACAGTAGATATTTTTATATATATATATATGTCATGTAAAGGAGGTTACTGGATTTTTTTTTTTGTGGAAACTAAACCAAGAGGACAGTAGATAGTGTGTAAACATGTGTATTCTTCTAAACATGTGTGCCCATCTCAACAAACATGGAGGACTCAGGATGTGAGTCCATTTAAAGAAAATGTAAAGAAATGCCAAGAACCAATATATTTTTACAAACAAATGATAATGTATTAACAATAAAGGTTACAAATGACAAAGATAAAGATGTGTGTGTCAAATGAATATAAAAAACCCAGATGCATCCTATGTATATGTAGTGAGTGAATGTGCATATGTATGTCTGTGTCTATGTACTGTTCATGATCAACGAAAGGGAACATGTTCTGTGAGAGATTTACATGTTGATGTGTAAGTGGAAAAAGTAAGAAGTGAGTAAGAAAAATATCATAGATTATTTATAGTCCTGAGAGTGTCCCTTAGGAGCAGTTTAAAAAATTAGGAGGAAGTAACCCGACAATAGCAACTGAAAGGATTTCCACAAGTGAGAAGTGCAAGAAAGGAAACTTAGCATAGAACTTACAGTTCCATCTAACCAACTCAACTGTAAATTAATGAGACCTTGTTGTCAATCTAGTACTGCACTAATTTATTAAGTTTAAGTACCATAGTAAGAGCTCATCTGAACAATTACTATGAAAGTATTTATAGAAAAGGTACAAAGAAGCAACTTTATGGTGGTGGGAAAGTGATTGAAGCTGAGATGACAGGTCAAGACCAATAATATGTGGATTCTTCTTTGGATTTTATTAACAATCTCAGGTATGTCACGCATTGCTTTCCTTTGTATCTCCTTCTATTTGATCTGTGAGTATCAGATTCTCCAGGCCCTCCTTCCTCATTATGTGTCCCAGAAACTTCAGCTGCCTCTTCCTGATATTAAGCATAAACCTCCTCTTTGTTTGCATTTTCTCTAAGATCTCATCGTTATTCACATGCACAGTCCATGATATCATTAGCATCCTTCTGTAGAACCACATCTCTGTCGCCTCGAGTCTCTTCTTCATCTTTGAGGAAGTCGTCCAACATTTTCTGCTGTAAAGAAAGACAGATGTCATGTAACAGTTCAGTATTCTTTTCTTTGTTTTCAAAGAAATCCTCCTGTCTTCCCCAAGTATCTGGTTTTTGGAATGTGTCCTTGGCCATCCTAATATTGCCTACATAAAAAAAGTGTCATCAGAAAAAATATTTATATTCTTAGGTAATCATTAATGGATCCATGGATAGTAGTATGAGAAAATTGATTCAATATGGGAACACGGAAAATTACTGTTCTGCAGGGATCCATGAAGACCATTTTTCTCACTTTTGTTGTCTATCACATTTTGGCTGGTCTACTCTCCAGCATTCCTGCTGTTAATTTATTTTGTTTAAATATTACTCAGTTATTCCTACCTATGTTTCCACTGAGTCTGCATTTGTACTACTCATCCCAAGGATTGAACTCCCAATTACTATGCTACCAAATTCACAACGAGAAAGAGTGATGGGGATCAAAGAATGGGAGAAAGAGAAACAGAGAGTGGGTGTGGAACAGAAAAAACAGATAGATGTGTAAGAGAAGCAATGAGAGAGAGAGAGAGAGAGAGAGAGAGAGGGACAAAAGTACATAGAGAGAGTGGGAAAGAAATCAAAGAGAAAGACAGAGACGTAGAAGCAAAGTGAAAGAGAGAAAGCAAAGGCAGGTAAACGAAAGAAAAAAATGAGCAAAAAGAGCGAGAGAAGGAAAAAATGAGCAACAAGTGGGAGAGAAGGAAAAAAGGTGCAAAGGCAAAGAGTAACAGGAGGATAGAGAAGCAAGAGAAGCTTTTTTTTTTTTTTGGAAAGAGAAACAAAGAGTATAAAAAAAAGAAACAGATTAAAATGAATATAGCAAATAGAGAGAGAAAGATAAAAAAAAAGAGAGATAGAGACAAAACATCAGAGACCTGAAATGAAATTAGAATTTCAGAAAACTGGATAAAGTAATGGACCTGGGCTAAAAAAGACCAATAAATAAATAAAAACTAAAACAAGATAAATTACTCTTAAAACCAAAGTGAAAAAGGTGGGCTTAAAAAGACTGATAACAATTTTTTTTAAAAGAAAGATTATTGGAGATGAAAAAATGTGATAGAACGCTGAGTTTCACACCACATTTAAACTTGAGGCAAAAGCAAAATTTGAAAAACAAATGAAAACTCACAAGAAACAACGAAAAGAACAAACTATTGGGGAGGTGGGAAACAAAAAGAAAAGAAATGGTTGAAGCAAATATTCCATGTTGTTGTTATCATTTACATCACAATTTTATTCATTTTGCTGGAAAGGAAAAGGGAGAAGGCAGACATTAATTAAGAGAAAAAAAGGAATGTCCGAAAAGAGAAGAAAGGAAAAAAGAAATAAATGAATGAAAAAAGAAACATGTGAAGAAAAAGAAGTAAAATTCTGCAGGTTTTGATGTGGAAAAACTTTCAACAAACTCTTTGTTGTGGTCGTGGAGTGTATTTATTTGTGTCAAATGAGAATGAACACACAATTTGAGTTTATATTTACCATTGGGTAACGATCGATGTAAAACATGACCAGTGGATTACTGGTGGATTAATAGTTCGATAGGGAACATGAGGGAATACCATCTTGAAATCTTTTTTTCTTTTTTGTTGTCCTAGAGAGTTCTGATCAAGGGGCATAACTTGATTCCCAATCTAGAGAGCGAGTTAGATCCCATGTTATGGTGTACATCCTAACATTTTCCCTTGATGGGTTATGCTTGTAGGATGTTTGACGAGGATCTATCTGTAGAGATGTGGTTCGTTTTCTCTTACGATTTGTCCTGCTCATTGAGTCTTTGGTTGTTCACTGGGTTTCATTTGTAAGCTTTGAGAAAGTTCAAATATTTTCAATAAAACATTCGGGGAAATGATTGTGTCAAAGGTCAGGTGAATATGAGAGATAGAGCAGAATAGACAAACCAAGATCCAAGTTTCAAGGTGTACTCAATGAAAATAA